TTCTTAGATTTTATGAGTGCACATCGTTACATTCAGCCCACCCAGATAATCCAAGAGAACCTCCCCATCTCAAGGCCCTTAATATTAATCAATCTACAAAGTCCTTTTGCCATGTGTGATAACGTATTCACAGGCCCCCAGACTGGGTTGTGGATATCTTTGGGGGGCACCATCTGCACACCACCATGGGAGGCAGCATTCAGTTCACAGGACCATAAGCCAGCAGCAGAATATACTTATGTAGATATATTTATTTTAAATAAATTTGGTGTATAGTAATTCTCATTTATTAATGAAGGGAATAATCAACAACTTCCTTAAGTAAGACTTTCCTAAATCGTTTGAAATGTTTTTGTGTACATAAAATATTTTAAATAACTTTATGATTGTTTAATATTAAATTATTTGATAGTAATAATTCCACTGCCTTCCTCAAGTCTGTGTATTTTACATAATTTTAATTACAATAATAATAAAACTTTGTATACATAGTACGATCTTACATTCTGTTTTCCCTTAATTCTTATATGTACTATTACACAAAAAAGCTGTATTTTACTTATTTATTTATTTAAAAATTGGATTTTTTAATTGAGATATAATTGACATATAACACTGTTTAAATTTAAGGAGTACATGTTGATTTGATACATTTATATATTGCAATATGATTACCACTGTAGCATTAGCTGTCACATCACATTATTATCATTTCTTTCTTGTGTTGAGAACAATTAAGATCTAGTCTCTTAACATAGCAGTTTATAACAAAGTATCATTGACTATAATCACTCTGCTGTGCATTAGATATACAGAACTTATTTCATCTTCTAACTGCAAGTTTTTACTCTTAAATTCTCCCCAGTTGACCAACTAACTCCCCAGCCTCTGGTACCACTTTTCTATTCTCTATTTCCATGCACTTGGATTTTTTAGATTCTATATATAAGTAAAATCATACATTATTTCTGTTTCCATGTCTGATTTATTTCGCTTAGCATAATTCCCTTAAGTGCCATCCAATTTATTGCAAGTGGCAGCATTTCCTTATTTCTCATGCTAAATAATATTCCATTGTACGCATAGCATGTATTCTTTATCCACTCATCCATTGATGAGCACTAAGGTTGTCTTCATATCCTGGCTATTATAAATAATGTTGCAATAAGTAGGGGAGTGCAGGTATCTTTTTGAAATGCTTATTTAGTTTCCTTTGGATATATATCCAGATGTAGGATTACTGGTCATATGGTAGGTAGTTCTCTGTTTAATTTTTGAAAAACATCCATACTGTTTTGCATAGTGGCTGAGCCAATTTACATTCCCATCAACAGTGCCCAAAGGTTCTTTTTTCTCCAATCCTCACCAACATTTATTTCTTGTCTTCTTGATGATGGACATTCTAAGGGTTTGAGGTGATACCTAATTATGCTTTTGAATTGAGCTTACCTATGATTAGTGATATTGAGCCTATTTTCATGTATCTGATGGCTATTTATGGGTTTTATTTGAAAAATGTCTACACAGATCCTCTGCCCAATTATTAACTGGATTATTTGGGTTCTTTTTTTTGCTGCTGAGCTGTATTCTTTCTATATTTTGGATATTAACTCTTTACCCAACATAGGGTTTGCAAATATTTTCTCCCATTCCATAGGTTGCCTTTTCATTTTGCTGACTGTTTCTTTTGCTTGTAGAACTTTTCAGTTTGACAGAGTCCCAGTTGTTGATTTTTATTTTTGTCACTTGTGCTTTTAGTGTCATATCCAGAAAATCATTGCAAAGACGTATGTCTAGGACCTTCTTCCCTCTGTTTTCTTCTAGGAGTTCCATAATATCAGGTCTTGTGTTTAGTCTTGAGTCCACTTTGAGTTAGTTTTTGAGAGTGGTCTGAGGGAGTGGGTCCAATTCATTTTCCTGCATTTGATTATCCAGTTTTCCCAGCACTATTTTGTTGAAGAGACTGTCCTTTCCCCTCTGAGTATTCCTGGCTCCCTTATCAAGTATTAGGTGACCATACATGTGAGGGTTTGATTCTGGGTTATCTATTCTGTTCCATTGGTCCGTGTGTCTATTTTTATGCCAGCACCATATGGTTTTAATTACATAGCTTTGTAGTATGGTTTGAAATCAGGGAGTATGATGCCTCTTGCCTTGTTCTTCCTTCTCATGATTGCTTTGGCTATTTGGGGTTTTCTTTAGTTCTGTACAAATTTTAGGATTGTTTTATCTATTTCTGTGAACAATGCCATTGGAATTTTGTAGGGATCACAGTGTATCTAGGCTTTGGGTAGTATTGACATTTTAACCATATTAATTCTTCCAATTTACAGACACAGGAGACCTTTCCCTTTGTTTGTACCTCAGTTTGTTTCACCAAAGTCTTGTAGTTTTCATTGCACAGATCTTTCACTTCTTTGGTTAAATTTATTCCTAGGCATGTTATTGTTTTTGGTGCTGTAGTGAATGAGATTGCTTATTTCCTTTTCAGATATTTTATCATATGGAAACAACTAATTTTTGTATATTTGATTTTATATCCTGAAACTTTACTGAATTCATTGATTAGTTCCAAAAGTTTTTAGTCTTTAGGATTTTCTTACATGTAAGATTATATTATCTGCAACTAACAATATACTTCTTCCTTTCCCATGTGGATAACTTCCATTTCTTTATCTTCAGTCTATAGTTTTATTAAATACAGCTCCTGATGTATTTTTTTGCTCCTGATGTTAGAGATTTATATGTTTACAGTTTATTGCTAGAATAGATAATACCCCACTGAAAGTCCACTTATTTGAACAGCTGACTTTTGCTTTTATTAAACAAATCCCTTGGAAAAAATTCCTTTGAAAGAAACTACAAATCAGAATGTATGGCTGTCTGCTGGTTGCCTCCCCATCACCCCTCTTCTTATTTGTTTATGGAACCATAATTTTGTTCAGGTATTAGGTAGTAATTTGATCAAGGGCTATGGCTTAAGCCCCAGGGGATGAATTTGTCCTATAAGCTAAATGTGGAAATTTCCGTCTCCTTTGCTAGTGATTTGTTTAAAAATAAACTGTGGTTCAATTGTATCCAGTAAGACCACACTGAAGGCTTATAGCTGGTGAGAGTTTGATCAAAGCTTGGGTTCAGGATCTGAATCTCTGATGTGTTGACATCTATGTTCATCATCTCAGTGGCTGTTACTACTATAATGAGATGAAAGAAGGAGCTGAACTAGGACGATATTGGTGCAAAAGCAAAAGGCATTACAGAAGACGAACCAAAAGAAGGATTCAAAGACAACTCTGACATGCTGCTGGGCCAGGGTGTCCATAGGAATGAAAGCTCCATTGTTGGGACTGTGGGTTTGTGGATTTGGGTTGTTTTGGATGCACAGGGATATTGACTTCAGTTTGGGATCTGTGACCTGAGAAGAATATCCAAATAAATGTGGTCCTCAAGAGAGACACTGGATCCAGTAGAAATGTACTGTGAACAGCAAATGCAAGTTCCATATGTAATTTCAAATTTTCTAGTAGTAACATTTCAAAAAAGGTAAAAAGAAACAAGTGAGGTTAATTTTAATAACATTTTATTTAATGTAATGTATCAAAATGTCATTTCATTATATAATCAATACCTATTTCAGCATCTCAATTTGCTCTAGCCACATTTCAGGTGTTTAATAGCTATGCCCATCTAGAAAAACAAATGTAGGAGCAAGTTATAAAGTCAGCACCTTATTTTGCCTTCAGTTATGAACCCTTGTTTGGGTTGTTCCTGCTCTTTTGGCTGTTATGAACAATGCTGTAATTAATAGTTACACATGCAACTCCTGGGGTGAGAATTCGGGACAACATGTTCCGAGCAGGATTGCTAGGAGGTACCAGATGCCCAGAAGTAAAAGCGCCCAGATGTTTTCCAAGGTGTTTACTCCAGTTCACTCTCCTGCTGGTAGTGTAAGAGTCTTTTGCTCCACATCCTCACTAACATTTGGAAAAGTCATATTTCTTCATTTTCATCAAACTAGCAGGTACAAAAATCTTATTTTTTCATATTTTTCACTTTATTGATGATTAATGAGCTTGAATATCTTTTCAGATACATATGAACCTTCATTTTTCTCTTCTTGCAAATCACAAATACTTCTTCATTCAAATATAAATATTTGTTATATGTGTTATAATGTTATATTCATATATGTCATGTAATATATCCATTTGCAAGTATTTATTAAGCATTATGTGCTAAATATTAATCTAGGTCTGGGGAATATGCTGGTGGGGGAAAAATAGTCCCAAACCCTGCCCTCAGGAAGTTTACATTCTAGTGCATGGTGTGGTGAGGAGGGAGAGACAAAAAAATGTAAAATACCCTATTATGTATGTGGTGTTAATGAACCAGTATTTAAATCTGGCTCTGCCATTTTACATCATTAAGCCTTGGTGTCTGCAATTTTTAAAAAGAAATGGTATTAATACCTATTTTACATTGTTTACTAAGCGCATATGAAGGACTTGACACAATGCCTGGCATATTGTAAGCATTCAGAAAATGCTGATATTAATATTGTGATTTCCCCATTTTTTCCTTTTGCTTTTTCTTCAGTAATTCTTTTAGTTAGAGCTTCTGGAGTTTAAGGTTAAATATGTTTTGGTTATGTTGAAGTGTTGGCTCTCATTGGGTGTCAACCTATTGGTATTTTCTGCAACAAGACAGATGACTTTGGCTGATTTTGAGATGTGTTTTGACATTCCAAGCTTCTTAAATCCCAAAGACCAAGAGCCTGAGAATATGCAGTTTTTTAAGTTACATGTCAAATAGCCAAAAATGTGGGAAAATCTGTAGACTTGTCTTCTGTAATTCAGGGCTATGTTCTGTGAGTACAAATGTTGCTTGAATTAATTATTTCAATCCAACAACCAATTGTAAACTATGTGCAAAGTACTGTACAGAGGAGATGCATATGACTTTATTAATTTTTGGAACAATTATTTGTCCCTCTTTCTTAGATAATGATGTTGAAAATGATCTTCAATCAGTCATCAGTTGAGCACTGCAAGACACACACAGAAAAGCAGAAAGAATGCCACTTCTTCTTAATAGCTGTTCGCCTGGCTTCACTGAACCAGATCTTGGATCCCTGGGTTTATCTGCTGCTAAGAAAGATCCTTCTTCAAAAGTTTTGCCAGGTAGCAAATGCTGTCTCCAGCTGCTCTAATGATGGACAGAAAGGGCAGCCTATCTCATTATCCAATGAAATAATACAGACAGGGGCCTGAAAGAGAATACTTAATCAGTTTGCATGTCCATAGCTTTTGGCAACAGATATCCCTAAACCTTACTGTGAATTTAGGCATCTCTGGCATGCCACTGTTTATGCGTTGAAGTAGAATTTTTAATCTAAGGCTAAATGTTTCAGAAGCATAGATAATCCCCTATGTGCCGAAAGTATTGAAACACAAAGAAAAATATACTAATAACAGACAGTGTTTTGGCGTCTCTGCCATTTGTAGTTGAATATGTGATGTTTATGAGATGAAAACATTTTTTATAAATAATCTTGGTCTGTGATGGGGGTGAGGCAGAGAAAGTTAGTATTCCAGTATTCTGAGTACATAGGGGATTTAATGCACAGATCATCAAAGATAAGCAGTGGTTTGCTTTTGTTCAAAGACCTTGGTCTTCGTGTTGTCTTTCACTCTCTTTCTCTCTGTGTTATGCTCTTCTTATATTTTTAAAAGAGTTGAGTTAGGATTAAACAAAATGAATCATGTGTCCACAATATTTATTGGTATTGGTGTTATTTATATATTGCTCAGTATGTAAATTAGCTGCTAAACTTACAAAGTTTAAGTTTTGATCCAGTTTGTAATTAGGTTCACTTATCATCTAAATAAGAGCCAATTCCATTTATTACAAATATGGCAGAATTTCTGATTATCCAAGTTGTTAAATGTTCTATATTTTGAATACAGTTTTAGTTCCTAAAAGCCTGGATAAAGTTCATGAAACTGAAGGTTCATGAAACTGTCAGTGAAGTGATTTTTGAAAATGCTATTAAGGACTGATTTGATCACTTAGTATAGGTTCTCTGGTTAATTATCTTCCCTAATTTTTCCACCAAAAGTATTCTCCAGTCTTCTGGATATTTAAATACTAATTCTGATTCTAAGACCAATGAATATATTGAAAGTCCTGGGAAGCCTTTCCATAGGCTGGCCTATTCATAGGCTAAGAAGGTTAATATTGATCCCCCATCCCTCAGAACTTTCTCTGCCTTCTCCACAAAGTAGCTCTATCTAAATATTTATTATTAAAGTGTTTTTCTTAAGTCTGCATGTATGCAAGCCTTGATAGCCAAGCTCCATATCTTTTTGGCACAAGTAGATCACTACATTAAATTTTGAGAATTGCCCTTTAAAAAAAATGCCTTGCTAAAAATACAATCTTTTAAGTTAAACCTATAAAAATTGTTTTTGGTATTCTTTGGAGTGTTCATTTGACAAAATCAACATTTCACATTTACATTTACATTTTACATGCAAACTTAATATTTTCTTGTGAAGATTTTAACTTGCAACTTAGTTTATTGCTTTCCTAGTTTTAAAAAATAACTTGAAATTTATACTTCTTTATAGTAACTTTTTTCTTTGTGTTTAGTAGGCATTTGGGAAACAATTAATTTTAACAGGTGACAGTATGTCTATCAGATTATTATGTACACCAGCCTAGATCAATCAGGAACTAACTTAAATGACCATATAAAATTGAGTGGGAAGACAAAATCTACTGAGAGTACTTAAATAATTCATGATGGTTCTGTTACTCTAAGTTTTAGAAAAAAATAATAAATAACTATATTAAAGCCTCATTATAAAATATCTGTATGCTGTAGAACTGGATTATCTCACAGGTCACCTGAAGGGAAATGAGGCAAAACTACCTACTTTTTTTCTGGAAAAAGTGCACTTAAATGACTTAATAAGAGAGAGGCTTTACCTTTTGAATGGTCCTCTGGCCCCAAGTAATCAAATAAACACACATGGTGTGGCTTCAGGTGGATGAGTGTGATCAGGTTATTCCTTCCAGCACCCAGACAGCCCTTAGAAGATAGAGAATGTTCAATATTTGTTCAGTGAATGAATGAGTAAATGTCTGCCCAAACTAAGTGCCCATCAGTGAGGCACCCACCATGTGGTTGCAGTTCTTCATGCCATTACAGTCCACCAACCTGATAGAGTGAATAATCTCTGTTTAATTAAAGAAATAGGAATTTATGTTGAAATGCATAGGGTCCTATTGCTGTACAACAAAATGCTGTATTTGTGTCAGTAATTTAAGAGACTGATACTTCCAAATGGAAATGGAGGTTACTGTTAAAGAAATATCACTTTTCATCAAACTAGAGAAATACGTAAAGACAAAAGAGCCTGAAACTTATCCTTAACTACAAAATAAATTCCTGCCCAGGGATACATGGTAGGAGTGGATGAATGGCAGCTTGAAAAGGAAGTGGAAAAGGAAAAATTGTGTAAATGGCATATGAGTTTTGTTACCTGGGCAGCCATTTGTAAGTCCAGGGAAAAACCTGGTAAGAAATGTAAGTTCCAAATGATTTCAGACTTTGGATGACAGTGGAGGTTAGATTTCAGAGACATTTTGCAGAGGTCCTAGGTGTGGTTCATAAGTGGACTTCTAAGGTCACTGCAGAAGAGTATGTCTGTTTTCAAGTGTAAGCTCATTGGTCTTTAAATTCACTTTCATTTACTTAGTTTATGTTTGCATATATCTGAGCAGGAACAAAAATGCATGCATAAGTTATAACAATTTCTAAACTTCACAGTTTAATAAAATGGAGCCTATGAAATCACATGGAATGCAGAAATATGTGCATAATTAACTATAATAGATTTTACAAGGCAGTCTCTATCTTCTAAACAATGAATTTATGCATCTGTGCTGTGTCATAGAAGAGAGTGATGACATGATATCCAATAAGAGCAGTTAACTTTTCAAACCAAATAAATATGATGGATATCCTAAAAATATTTCAAATTGAAGAAACAAGATATACTACCTCCAGGTTTACCAAATTTACCTAATGTATACCAAGATACTTTAAGCAAATGTATGTCAGATTTAGATGACTATGAATTTAAAAGTGCACATATATTTCTCCTTCATACTTCTTTATCATATAAAAGAACTTTCAGTCATGTTATGGAATAAAATTGTGGAAACTAACGTAAAACTTAACCTTAAAAGCCCCTGTAACCATGCTGACATTAAATAGTAGACAAACTAGAAACTCTGACTAAACAATATTTTAAGAAGGTGGTCAATCTGTGGCAGTATTCTGAGCTTTTCAAGTGAATTAGGCCTTTTATTTAATGCTTTTAGTGATTGGCTTTTGATCTTGGGCATGTCAATGATCATTTAATAGGCATTTTGCATTGGATTTAGTAAGAAACAGGAAATAGAAAAATTGTGTGCTTTGTAACTTTAGGCACATATATAGCCTACTTCTTTTCATACTTTAACACCAAAACCTTCTTTGAAATAGACAGGATACTACAGGCTGAGTGACACAAAAAGATTGCAGAATATTTATCACCACAAACATATTAAAGCTTATCAAATAATTAAAATTTCTATGATTTACCTATACAAAAAGTTTAGATTATCAAGTATGCCAGATCTTCACAGATGCTTTTTTATTTCTGGGTTGTGTTTGTATATGTCTCAAAATCTGCTAAAATTGAGGTCTAAATAAATCTACAGTATGGTACAATGAATGAGAATATATCATTTTTAAAATGAAGAATAATTAATACTTTGGCTAAGTGCATAAGACTGCTGAGTTGCAGTAAAATGCTGATAAAAGGTAATATGCATCTGTGATGTTTCATTACATAAACTGTGACAGAGTCAAATCTACAAAATTTGAAAATCAATGTAAACCTCATAGGCACATTTGTTAGGAAGCTGATACCAGTTCAGTGTGCTAAGAGAACAGGTGGTGATTCCATAAGAGGCATGAGACAGAGAATTAGGGAACATTTTGGAATTAAAACTCCATCATATTGGTATCATTTATGTAGATTCTAACTACATGTGAAAGTTAATATTCACCTGAATTACTTCCACCCAAAGGTTTCAATTTTATAATGAATTTGTATCTGGAGTTAGTTATCAAGTAAAATCTTTTACATGTCTTCCCTAAATACCTTTTTTGGATTGAGTCCATCTTGAGTAAAACTGAAGAAAATGAAAAAGAGTAGTGCACAGTGACAAAAGACAAAAGACAAAATGACAAAAGAAAACTGAGACTATACATATTGATGAAAGACTTTAACAAGTCTGGAATTAAGGCATTTCTTCAAAAAGAGATCAATAATGTATTTTTGTTAGATGGAAAGGTATCTTCAAAACAGATCTTTCCTAAAATAAGGATTCTGTTTAAAGGTTTCTGGCTTATGCAAGTTGAGTTGTAAACTGTTACATTGTGACACCATAAGATGAGTACATTTGATTCTCTAGAAATACAGTTCAAATATATTCCATATTCATTATATATCACACATTTTTATTTATTTTTATAAGTTTTACATTAGTCTGTTTCATAAGCAGCCCCAAATCTCCTGGATTACATATTTCTTCATTAGGAATGGGACTGTTCCCCCTCAACCCTCTACCTCCAACCTGTTTTCTCACAGAAAGTAACAAATATTTACTATTGGTGAAGCTGGGATTGTTTTCAAGAGGAGAAAGTATGGCTTCATATCTTTAGAATGATAATGCCGTAATATATGAAACAGATTTGAGTTTGTTTTTTAATAAGTCTTCTTTGATGAAACAATTTTATTATGGGAGTAAAGATAGGGAGGAAAGCAATGATCATCCAGAATAAATCAGCCTTTTCAGGCTCTTTGAGCATTTAGGAGATGATTTCACCTATAAGGTTAGTTTCAAGTGTGCAGCTCTTAAATGTTCTTGTTAGTTGCTCTAGAATTAGAATATTTTGGCCTTTGAATTAAAGTGAACCAGATATACAGCCAATCGCCAAACTTTCAATAGTTATTTGAAAGTAATTTCTCTGCATGGTTTTCAGTTTCTGCAGAAATCAATGCAGTAATGTTAAGCAGAGAAAAATGCATATGACTTCCTGATTCATTTCAATGTTCTTTCA